ATGATCGCTAGGGCCCGCGCGCCCATATTCACTCCCACCTTGCCGGACCAGCCCTCTTCTCTTCTTTGTTTGTCCTCGTCCATACAGCCGTAATCGGTCAAGGTCACCACTACCGGACGCCGCCCCATGGTCATTACTTCTAGATCATCGATGAATTCGTCATGGAATGATGGCTATGAGTGGAAAAATGATTTAACTTAAAAACTTTCTAAATGTGAACGGCCATCAACGCTCACTTTTGTGAAGTTGTGAAGAGTATGAACTATGACTCGGCTGTTCATACCCCTCACAAAGGGGGCATTGATGGTCATACTGAGAGAGAAGATTACTGCTTTTGCATGATGCGGCTATCTAAGCCGGCCGCATCGCTCCTCGTGCAGCGAGGTGACACTAAACCCCCAACCCCGCCGGACCTGAAATTTTCTATTTGTGTGCACTGTTTGACCAAAATGATCGACGTGCATGTGTTTTCATGTATTTGATGTTTCAAAAATACGGTTTATGATTGCAAATGGCAAAATTCCGGTTTCTTTGTGTTTGTGTTTGCATGAGGCATGTCCGGTCACTTTATGCGGGCGTATCGGCAGACGTATAGGGATCTGGATTAGGCAATTCGGGCCTTAGATGCTCTAAGGGAGAGAAATGCAGGGTAACTAATTTTATTCGCAAAAGATGCATGCAAAATAATTAAGTACATATCTCTATCTCTATCTTCTCTAAATCTATCTCTGGTTCTTCTATCTCTATCTCTATCTTCTCTATCTTCTATCTCTCTATCTCTAGTTCCTATATCTCTTAGTGACACAGAGCATATCAGGAAGGGTTTGCATTAAACTGAAGGTCACTCTCTGACCTTGTTGTGTTGGGGTGTAGTTGTCCAGATCTTGCTGGATGAGAATGTACTCCCTCCGGTCCTTTTTACTCTGTATATTAAAATTCTCTGAAGTCAAACTTCACAAAGTTTGACTGTATTTATATGAAAAAATATCAACGTCTGCCATACTAAAGTTATACAATATGAAACTTTAAGTTATGACACATCTATTGATATTGATTTCAGATTGTGAATGTTGGTAGTTTTTTTATAAAGTTGGTCAAATTTTATGAGGTTTGACTTCAGTCAAATCTTATATGCGAACTAAAAAGGACCGGAGGGAGTACATGCCGGATGAGAATACTACTGGCTTGCTCTCTCACTACAATGTGTGATGCTAGATACAGTTTTGGGCTTCGAGCCCGGGTCACATGCTGTTGGTCGTTTCCTTCTCCGATCGGTCGGCTGGTTTGATTGCTTCCGATCGATCGCTATCTGACGAGCAGCCAAGTCCAGCAGCCAGGAGACGGCCGCACGGCAGCTAACGGCGCAACGCGTAAGGATCGACCTGCACGGCAGCGGCGCCAACGCTCAGGCAATGAGGCAAGTCAGTCTGCGAGTGCGATCGGGATTGGGGCATGACCGTGACACGCCATCTCGTCACGAATTCACCATCAGGTTTTCCCTCAAAAAATCACCATCACGTATACACCCTAACAGAACACCAAGCCCATTTAATTTACTCCATTTTCCTTTAACGGATACATACGCATGTCGATGATTATGAACGTGCATCTATTAATTTTGTTCTTGTCATCTTTCATGTACTCCCTCCGTTCCTAAATATTTGTTTTTATAGAGGTTTTAAATGGTGACTACATATGGAGTAAAATGAGTGAATCTACACTCTAAAATATGTCTATATACATCCGTATGTAGTGACCATTTGAAATCTCTAGAAAGACAAATATTTAGGAACGGAGGGAGCACATCAATACGTGTGCATTATCGTTCAACTTTTGCATACTTCCAACCCACGTCTTCTGCATACCGGCCGGGTTAGACGATAATCCTGATCATCGAAATCAGAAGTTGCAAAAGAGACAAAGATAATATAGGTTTTAACTCAATTTCAGAACAAGCTAGGTAGTGGTTTATATTATAAAACAACCGTAAGTTCCGTCTAATAACCAGATATTGCACGTGATGTTAATGTTGCAGTTAAGATTTTGAAGACATTTACACGTTCAAGCAACAGGTACAGTACTTGGTCCATCCTGTTATAATTACAGTACAGTTACATTGTTATTACTCTTAGCGCTTAAATTTGAGCTTTGTCCAGAGATTTGCTTCGTCCTCCTCCATCTAATCAGATACCTACACGACTGGTCCAGCCGGAGTCGCAGTCACTGAGCTCCACGATGAGGTCCACGCCCCCGGCGTCTACAGTTAATCATACCCGAATTTCCCATCGAGCGGACGCCACCTGAATTTCCTAGCAGGATCTTCCGTCCCTATATATATCGGCTCCCTCCACATCCAAAAGACAAAACGTCTGACACAACCACCACTAAAACCAGCGCAAAGATGATGAGGCATTCCCAAGCTCTCTCGCAGCTCGCCGTCCTCCTCCTCCTCTTCCTCCTCGTCTCATCCAGCGCCGCTTCCACTCTAGACGACACCTGCAAGTCCGTCAGCGCGAGCAACAGGGACCTCGGCTACGACTACTGCGTCAAGTTCTTCAAGGCGTGCAAGGACAGCGCCACCGCGGACAAGCGCGGCCTGGCCGTCATCGCCACGAAGATCATCCGAGCGGCAGCCGTGAACACCGGCAGGCGCATCGCCACCATCAAGGCCTCGCACGGGGACGACAGGAGGATCCAGGGCCCGCTCGCCGACTGCGACGAGCTGTACTCGAGCGCCGTGGACCAGCTCGACGCGGCGGCGAGGGGCATCTCGTCGGGGAAGTTCCAGGACGCCCTGACGAACCTCAGCGCCGCTGCGGACGCGCCACAGACCTGCGAGGAAGGGTTTCGCGAGCTGGGCGTGAGTTCGCCGCTGGCCGACGAGGACTCCAAGTTCAGTAAGGAGTGCTCCATCGCTCTCGCTGTAACGAACACGTTGTAAGCGACAAAGTCTATTAGTCATTTGGATCAATATAAATAATCCTGGAATACAATTTTAGACCAGATAAACTCCGCAATCACGTTTGGCCGCACTTTCCTTTGTTGTTCTATAAATTATACTCCCTCTGTAAACAACTTCAGTGGATTTTTATTGTTCTTAAGTAGTGATCTAAACGCTCTTATATTAATTTATGAAAAGTGTGAAAGTAAGTAACAAGGTCAGTGGATTTTTGGCCTCATGGCTCGCGGATGCTGTCCGATGCCTAGATCTCCGCATATGTGATGATGGTGAAGTTTCTCAAAAAAAAATATGATCATGGTGAAATAGCAGTCACTAAGAAAACGGCACACAATTTGCGGACGATCGTGGCCATCAAAGCGAATGCATGAACATCCATCGAGCATCAATGTTTGTCAATGTTCAGGAGATCTGGCGGCATGGGATGAGATGCCCACGCGCGGCACGCTACCGAATTTTGTACGCAAGAGATGCTTGCCAGACAAGTGCAAGATTATATTACTGTTGGCAATCAAATACGCCCACACGTATTAGTTGCCACATACATCAAAATAGCGGATGCCGGTATCCTTTTGTTTAGTCATATCATTTTAAGTGTTTTACAGCGAAACGTCACAACGAATGGTTGCAGAACGAATCTGATACTGATACCGGTAGCACATGATGGATGCATGGGTCATGCTGTGTCCGGCGGCGCCGGCCTCACCGCGGGTAAGGTCCAGCCACGAAGGTCATGTCCAGTCAGGCAGTCAGCGTCGTCGCGCGCGGATGGAGGCGGCAAACCAGCGTGCGCGAACGTTTCGAGCCGAAGGTGCAAACTTCGGGAAAATTGGCCACGATAATCCTAAATTTTACTGTGTGGGCATCATGATTTCCAACCAAATGTTACCATGCACTTCCACTTCTTTTCTTTTCTTTTTTCTTTGAAATCATGTACTTCCTTTTTAAAGAAATATAAGATGTTTTAGATCCCTAGCAATGATTTGAAACATTATATTTCTTTCTCGCCGGAGTCGGACAAACCTTGTTGTAGTAGACAATCGGAAAGTCGTCGTGCTAATGCTCCACATGACCGGCACACCAGAACAGCAACCACCGTCGATGATGAGAAGTGTTGATCAGAAGGATCCACCATATAGACACACGAATATAGACGAATGAAAATCGGATCCAAGTGGATCCGCTGAAGCCAAACACCGAACAAATCCCGCGAGATCCATCGGAAACGCACCTCCACGTGCCCCCTCCGGCGATGATAGACACACCACCAGAGAGAGACTAGGTAGGGAGAACCATATGCTACCTTCAGGGAGCCGCCACCGCCACATGTTTTTGAGTAGGACACAAACCCTAAACAAACCCAAAAAATAAAAGCGAAGCCCTCCCGCCGGCAAGGACGAGGTAGATCAGTGGCGACGCCGACAGAAGGCGGGAGGAACCCTAACGCCCGTTGCCTTTCCTTGTGTGGTAGGAGCGAAGGGGTATTGTGCACTCAATGACTTACATATATTTCTTTACAGAGGTCGTATATTTCTTTACAGAGATAGTAAATCTGTAGGTTTAAATCTCTCGTAATTGTAGCATGAGCAATGCTATTTGTACGTACATGTTTCAAAAAAACTTGTACACACTAGTCCATTAGTTGGCTAAAAACGTGAGAGCAGTTACAATTTACTTCCTCCATTCCTAAATACTCCCTTCATCCAAAAAAGCTTGTTCAAAGCTTGTCCCTCAAATGGATGTATCTAGCACTGACTTGGTGCTAGATACATCTATTTAAGGGACAAGCTTTTCCGAACGGAGGGAGTATAAATCTTTTAAAGTGGATTCATTCATTTCACTTTTATATAGTCTATATTAGAATCTCAAAAAAAGACTTAGATTTAACAACAAAGGGAGTAGAGAGTAGTACGCTTGAATTTTGTAAAACCTTTACATAAGAATAGGATTTTCCTTCTAGCATTGCTCAATTCCTTGACCTTTTACGCCTAGGCGTCATCTACTCGGTTGCTTGCAATTTCCAAAAAGTTAAATCCGTACATATATGAACGCGATTGGCCAATTCTTTTCTCAGGAAAACTTTCAACCTATTCATCTGCAACCATGACAGTACAACGAACATCAGAAATAGTAAAAAAAGTACATGCAAACCAATTGGCGATAACTACAAGCATCGAAGCGAACCAACGGCGAGCCGCCATCATAGCCCCTCCCTTGCCGAGCCAGGCAAAACTTGTTGTATTAGACAGTCGGTAAGTCGCCGTGCTATCGACCCATAGGACCAGCGCACCTGAACAACAACCGCCACCGATGAAGATAGCGTAGATCAGAAGATTCAACCTGAAGACACACGGACGTAGACGAACAACGACCAGATCCGAGCAAATCCACCAAGACAAATCGACCGAAGACACACCTCCATAGGCTCACCGATGATGGTAAACGCACCGCCGGGAAGGGGGGGTAGGCAGGGAGAATCTTATCTCATGTCCTTGTCTCACCTTCCTGAGCAGGGCAAAAATCCTAATAAAACTAAAAAAGATCTAAAAACGGAGCGCTCCCGACGGCAAGGGCCTGGATCTGCCGTGCCCATTGGCCCTAAGGCCACCAGAGAAGAGGTGGATCGACGGCGGCACCAGCGAGAAGTAGAGGAACCCTTATCTTATTTTAGGAGAGGAGGCTGCAACTGCATGAGGTGTTGCAATAATGTGTTGGACGTGGAGTTTCTACACCTGGGCTCAAATGCTTCTTATGTGAACAGTAAAATAAAAAAACATTTCAAGAAGTTCTGAACTTTTTTGTGGCATACTTCAAGAAATGTTTGTTGTGCACGTAAAATTTCATCACAAAATGACATTGATGGAAGGCGTGGTAAAAAAACAAAATTGATGCTCTAAAAATGTTACTTTCAAACGCATTTTGGAGCTCTGATTTTATTTTAGTTTTGCCATGACTTTTACCAATATGATTTCGTGATGAAATTTTGCATGCACAACAAGCATTTCTTTTTTTTTTGCGAGGACACAACAAACATTTCTTAAAATGTGCCACACAAAAAAAATCAGTATTTTGTGAACTTTTTTATTTTTTTATTTTAACAAACATTTCTTAAAATGTGCCACACAAAAATTTCAGTAGTTTGTGAATTTTTTCATTTTTTTCATTTTACTGTTCACATCAGGAGCATTTGAGCTCGGGTGTAGAATGGTAATTTCGTATCGTATCACGCTTCTGTCTTCGCCAGTTCCATACAGGTAGCAGGAGTGTTGAAGGTACAAACTATTTGATGGGTGGCCCAAGGTACCTCTCAAAATTTTGATTTCAAGGCTCAATTATATCCACACTGTCCACTGCTTTGTTATTCGGCGAGTCACAACCAGTTTTATCCCCAACGTAGCCCCTTATTGAAATAGACATATTCTGGGCATAACACGTTAAAATAAACTTAGTTGCAGATATACAGCAAGATGACCCACCAGAATTCTAGAAAAATTACAAAATAAGTTGAAAAGGAAAAAAGGAAAAGGGAAACATATTGTTCATAAAATAGAAGAAAAAAAGAAAGGAAAATGGAAGAAAAAAAAGAAAACTGGAATAGAAAAGGAGATAAAAAACCGAAAATAAAACTTGCTGAAATTAATATATGTGTAAGAAAATTTAATCCCTGAACTATTTTTTATTATGTATTTTTAAGAAAAAAATCAATGGATTTTAAAAAATATAGTTTTTTATTTAAATATATTTATGTATACAAATATTATACTCATGCATTGTATTTTTTATGTAAACCATGGATTTTCTTCAAAAACAAATTGTATATATGAAATAAAATTGTTCAAAGAGTATTGAAAAACAAGTTCATGAACACAAAAATCTACCATGTATTAGAAACTTGACATAAGTTTCGATAAATCAAATCATAATAAAACAGAAGAAAAAATGGATGAAAATAAAAATGCAATAAACGAGAAGAGAAAGAAATTTGTTTGACCCATTCTTTTTCCTGGTTCGAGTCACTCTTGATTCACAACTTATTTTTCAAATGATAATCCGCAGGAAAATACGCAACCTTGAGGCCTCATTTGGTTGTTGGGGTTGAAAAAACCTGGGCAGTAAACCCCGAAGTAGGAATTTCCCAGCTCACAGGGTAGCCTCCTCCCACCATGTGAAAGTACCCCGTTACCATTTGGACACCAAAGGGGAGGGAAGGGAACATGCAAAATTTTAAAAACAGGTTCCAGAATATAGAATTCTCTGTTTTTGTAAGTCAGATGGATCTAGACTTGCTAGCGTTGGACATCATAGATGCTTGAGCTAGTGCTAGTCAGATGGATCTAGAATCTAAGCATCTCTATAGAATTGCCTAGAATTGGATAAAACTAATTCTAGATAAGCACCTCTACAGAACGCCGCGTCGTCGTCCTCACGGACGCGACAGAGAGCGGATGGATCTTGGAGAAGGAGAAGTGCGGCCGCCGGGCCATTGTCGTTGCCTTCGCCGGAGGGCAGAAGAACCGGCAGGCATAGAGCTTGGGGGGCCTTCGCCGGAGGGAAGTGGAGGCACTGTTCCTGGTGGCCCGAGGGAGAAGCTCGTGAGGCGTCGGCTCGCGAGAGCGAGCGAGGGCTTTCCTTCCCGGCCTATCGAGGCTTGGATGTTTCTCCCGAGGAAAGTCCGTGGGAAGGCTCGGGATCCCTCCCCCACATCGGTGTCCAAATGGCACGACCGATCTCCCTGGGCCAACTCAGCCCGTGGTTCTGTGACCCGGGAAATCAGCGGGGATCTCGAAGGGATTCCATGCAACCAAACCAGGCCTGAGGGTTCTTGGATCACTGATTGGTTGTGCCTCTTGTGGATGCGCCTCTTGCGGCTACCAGGCAGTTGCCTCTGAAGCCAGGTAAGAGCAGCTCCAACAAGCGCGCAATGCGCGGGCGCGCTAAAAAAACATTTACATTATTTTCATAGTCAGTTTTTACCACGCTGAGCGCTGGTTCCAACGGCCGCTGCAAAAAATTGCGTGCGCACGCCACTCCGGCGGACGCGTTATATTTTTACTACTTGTCGTCTTCTCCGTCTACTTCAACTTGATACACATTCGACTCCGACTCGATACTTCATAGATAGGCATAGATAGATAAATAAAAAGATATATAGATAGATAAACGATAAACAAAAACGACATATAGATAGTTCATAGCATAGATAGATAGTTCAACTACTACTCCCATCCTGCTCCTCCGACTTCCACTCCGCCTTGGTGATGTCCTCCTCCGAGGTCTCAATGGAGGCGTCAAGATACCGATCGTCATCGGAGTCCCAGGACGACGCTTCTCCTAGGTCGATGTTGAATTGAGCGGCCGCCTTCCGCATACGCCTGTCCTCGCGATAGGCGGCTCGCTCCGCCCTCCTCTCCTCCCTCCTTTCCGCGAAAAACTAGCGCTCATTGATGACGTCCTGCGGGAAGCGTTGGCGCCACAACTCCATGGCTTTCTCGTCCCTCTCGGCGAGGCCGAGATGGCGCTCCCACCTCCGGTTG